GTTACTTCAAGGAATATGATCTGCTTCCGATAATTCCGAAGTATGACCGCTGCCGGAGCCACAAAATAGGATCCCCCGTTGGACTCGGCCACACGAACGATTGACCGTGGCAGGTGTCTCATTAATCGAGCTTATTTGTAAAAAATTGGTACCTGAACAGCTGAGTGTTCCTTCTGTTGCGGTTGTCGTTTACCATGGTATCCAGAGTAGCTGCGCAAGTGTCGACTGCATTCTGAACAAACAGACGTAGATCAGATCTGGAGCCGTATCCTATCCTGCCCCCAGGGGGACGCGTCCTCCGTCGCTGATTCTATACTGAGCTTGGGGAAACGGGTTGCGTCATAGGACCCGCCATTGAACGCGTGATGTTGTAGCTACCCTCCCTGAGCCCTTTTCTCTGAGGTCGCGCTGTCTGGAGTCTAGAAACGCAGAGTATGGCTGGCCCTATGACGCAACCCTGTCTCCCCCAACCATAGGATAGGATCAGCAGGCGGGGACGCGTCCCCTCGGGGAAAGATAGGATACGGCCCCTAGGGTGTGAGCCAGGAGATCCTCTCAGCGCTAGCGCGCATATTTCTAAGCTGCTTGACCTTAAGTACTGCAAGTTTGATGCCAAACCAAAAAAAGATGGTTGCGTTACGTCTAATACGACCTCTTTTACGGCAAACAACCGATGAACTCTGCAACAATGGTTTCAGCCTTTTTTAAGATTGCCAGAAACAGGGGCAAATCATGCAAGGTTACGAAATATGACCCTTTCGACTGGGTCTGGCAGGGGGTGGTTACTCCTAGCTGCACTTAGGAATGGCGCCGTTGGCCCGGGTGGAGCTGTTGAAAGGCAGGTTAATGTTACCTATGGGGGACATCTGACTTCGATAATGGGGAGCGACTCCAGTCGGATCTGCAGTAGGCCAATGTCAGACTTTGCGAATTGAGCAACCACAAGCGTCCGCGGTCGCGTTGCAGTACTGCCAATAGAGCGAACCGCGACGCGACCGGATCGCTCGATTTGCAAACTCCATCGACCTTATCTCGTGCTTTCTCTGATTCATCCCATTT